CGGCGCAAGACCCCGTTTGGTGACAGCGATCCCTCGGTACCCAGCAATAGTGGAGGCAGCTTTGATGAGATCAGCTTTGTTGGCACGATCAATAGGCCAGAAACGTGGAATAGTGGAGAGGTCCTGAACTTGCTCCCCTTTGGCAACAAAGTCACGAACAACCAAGTCACCATGTCCACTGGCAGAAAGTAAAGGGACGCGATGCTTCTGCTGAACCTTCAACAGGCATTGATGAACAAGGTCATACTTTTCCTTGGATTGCTTCTGAACCGCTCTGTACCCATAGATAGCAGCATGACCCCAGATGGGGTCCGAGCATACTTCTTTCAACTGAGCTTTGAACTTGGCCAACGGGTTGTCATAGAAAAGGCTTGAAAGACGTCTTTGGTAGTAAGTCGAGCATCACACTCCAAGACAATCTCACAAACTGCTGCCAAGGTCAATGTGATCGAGGGCGTAGGCAAGGCAAAGTGCACCTCAGGCGTGACCAGAAGATGGACTTGCCTCTTGTACTCCTGGTTCAGAGCAGGATCAAATACAATCACTTCGAAAGGTCCGGAGAGGTTCGGAAGCTTTGCCAATGGGTCAGTGGGATCAATAAAAAAGAAGAGCACAAGCCTCCTTGGGGGTAAGCTCCCTCGCTTGTTGGAGGTTTCCCTTGGAGACAAAAGCAATACCCCTCGATTCATTGACAACTGTTGTTTCTGGACAAATGGCACCGGAGTCTTCTCCTTTGCAACGAAGGGATGGTCGGCTTGAAGCTGAAGGTCCTCCCACTTGCTCTGTTTCACTTGCTTCTTTTTGCTCTTCCAAGGATCATCGATCTGCCAGGGATCAACCGCTTGCATAGGTGAGTCAGTACTGGCTTGACCATCCATCCCACCCAACGAAACTGCTGAGCAGGGCTGAAGAAGCTGCGCCCCACCCACAAGGAGGAAGAGCCGTCGGATGTTCTCAGCAAAAGTGCGGAGCATCGGCGGGGCGCCAGCCTGCCGCCAGGCTTGATCAGATTCTGCAATCGCAGTGTCAATGATCTGTCTCTTGGGATTCGGCGCATGGAAAGGATGAGGGAGACGGATGTCTGCAACGACCCATCGGTGAAGAAGCTCCCAACCACACATGCCTGGTCTAGTGCGGTTTGTATCAATGATGATGATTGGCCGGAACCCAAAGGGAATGATGTAGTCCACAGCAAAGTCATGCCAGAACTGCTGGTCCCTCGGAGGGACTTGGAGAAAAAAACCGCACGACATGGGTGCTCTTTCTTCATTGCACACCACGTCAATACCAATCCAGTCTCCCTCACGTAGAGCAACAAAGCTTTGTATCTCAGTGCGTGGAATCTTGACACCAGCTTTGATCAGTGAGAGATCATGAAGCAAGACCGGTGCGCAGAAGGACTCAGGCAGAAAGAACCTCATAGCAAACTCAATCTCATCACTGGTAGCCCATCCGGGGTCAGTACGATAGATGTTGAGTCGCATCTCAAGCCATTCATCAGCAACAAAGAAGATCTCCCGAATATCATAAACTGGTAAAGGCTGACCAGTAGCCCGTCGGAGAAGGTCAGTGGCCCTGCTCGGTGACTCAGTGACAGCAGCGACAGCAATAAGGAACGCATTCCTGCAAGCGCGAGCAAACTGAACCATTCTATCATCAGCCTGCGTTTCACGCCGTACAAGATCAGCCTGGTCAACAATTTGCGCGACATGTGCCGTATGTTGGGCTCGCTGCAGTCTCTGAGAACTCCGATGAGACTCTGGAAGCAGAGGAGCTCCGGCCCTGGCATAGAAGGTGCGAAGAGTATATGCCATGGTGCTAACTCGTTTTCCTCCGCTGTGCGAATCCACCTGTATGCATTTGGAGCAACTGGGATCCCCATGACATTGATGAGCTCAAGGACAGCATTGGTCTGCCCGATAGTAAGTTGTTCAGGTGAGTGATAGAGCACTCTCCACTGACCCTCAAAGAACCGCACCTCCACAAAGATCCAATCAAAGACCACCAAGATCGGAACAACAAAATGCTGATAGCGTCTTTGCAAGTCCGCAGGCTCATTGGGGAGCCGAAACTGTGACTCATTATTCGCCCAGAAGCCCGGGGGGCACCAGCATATCGACGGCGTCGATATTTGGAGGATGTCAAAATGGAAGACTACCTCATCAACTGCCAATGCTCCAGGCTCAAGGTTGAATTGCAGCAACCTCGCAACGGTCTCATCATTGTTGATGTTGCAACTGGGACGATCCGAGAGCCGATCCATACCACCAAAGGCAATTGGGACGACATCATGAACCCTGGTGTCACTCCATAGGACGTCTCCATTGATAAGCGTCAATGGCTCATCATCTCCACATGCCACAAGATTGCGCATCGTGATGTGACACTGCTGCTCCAGTAACTCATCACATTGCCGTGGCGTGAGCGCGCGAGGAACTTGGCAGCTTTTACACCGTCTCAGGTTTCGTCCTCCAGCCAAAAGAATCCATTTGTTGGGATGAATTGGGTCATAATGCCCTTGAATGGCCATCGCGACATGAACACCCAGCAGGCTCTGACGTGCATCTCTGTTGACCTTGAAAAAGTGAAGGGCGTTCCCTGATGGTGCAAGATCGGTATACTTCCAAGTCGGTCCAGATTAGCATTCTGGATCCATTCAGAGGTACCATCTTGCTGAAGTAACAGAACTTTGGCCACCTGCCATGGGTCTTCATCCTGGCAAACATACTCTGCAACATGGAAGAAGCCAGCTCGATTGGCATCCTGTAGATGATCAACTCCGGGTCCGCATCTTCCTCATGCCAAGGCTGAGTTGGGGAGACAATAGGATCTTCAGTACAATCTCCTGAATGAGTGTGCATCACTCGAATCGTGCGTAGATCCAGAGATCCCATCTTCACAATGAGGTCTCCCATAGGAAGCTCACGCCAAGAAACATCACCGGGTAGGGCACCTCCATCACCAATCAAATGAATAAGGTGAGCATGGTGATCCGCAAGGTCCAGACTGGATAGCAGCTGAGCCACAACACCCAGTGTTTCCGTGATATTGAGAGGAATCAGCGTCGCATCATCACAAAACCTGATCAGAGTGTGATCCACCGGCCATGGTTGCCATGTCACCACACTGGGAATTGCCTTAGCCACAAAGTCCGCCAGCGGTTGAAGGACATACACGTCATCACAGATTCTGATCATCGCCTTGTCAGTAGTAAGTCGGTCTTCCCAACATTGCTGTATGAGGGAGAGCTTCTGAAAGGTCACCCCTTCAATAGCAAACAGAATGACCACCAATGCATGGATCTGAGAGATCGCATTCCCAAGCTGGTGAAAAGCTGTCCGAAGGGCAGTCGGTAGGGCAATAGAATCAGTTGTCCCAAACAGCACCACAAAGACAAAGGGATCAATGAAACTGAAACGATCATTCTGCTGTGTCAGAGTAGCAAAGATGCCTTTGGACTCAAGGTGCTCCTTCTGCAACAAGTGTTGCGCTGTATAAGACGCACATAAAGTTGGTAGGCACTCTCCCTGAGGGACAAGTCTTTGTGTGGATAGTCGCATCATCACCCGCCCGGGCCCTTCTTGCCGGTGGCAACAGGTTGCGATTCCCATAGACTTGCATTTGGGGGGATGCAAAACCAAATCATCGGCCAAGGCGTTTGGAAGGGCATGTTGATGCTTGGCATCATTCCAACTCAATCGTCGATTGATAGAGCAGACAAATCTTTCATGTAGCTTCTGGCCTGGTACATCATGCCTGGACCACACTGCAAGCCACCTAGAGCGATGGTTGGACGTGAGTTGACGAATAGCAACATCCTGTGACCACAACTTGCAATATCCCGCCAATTGCATAGCAGCAGAGAGAACCCTCCAGTGTGGATGAGCTTCAATACCATCGGAGCATTCAACCAGAGCAAGTACCGGTCTGGCTCGAGCAACATGCTCAATTGCATCCAGGAAGCAAAATCCCTCATCCGTTGCAAGCCCTGAGTGTTTTCCTTCTTGCCTCCAGCTGGGACACGGAGGGGAAAGAGTCATCAGCAGGTTGGACTTGTTTGAGGAGGCCCTGAGGAGGGTCAAGTCACTGATATCCGTTTCCTTCACGAACGGACCTTCTTGACCTGTCCTGTTCCATGTTTTCATGACATCCGGACACCAGTCAACTGACGTATGGGTTGCAAAAGAAAGGCCCAAGTTCGCCTGCAGCGCCCGCCACATCGCTCTCAACCAACCCTCATATGCTCCAGCGAAAAGATGGGTAACATTCCACGCAAGACACCGGTCAAAGGAAGAAATATTCCAGATGCATCAGCAACCGCCTTGTTGATACCTTGTCGATTGGCCGGTTTGGTGTACACGCCAAGCAGCATCCCAGGTGAAAAGTCAACACGGTTGTGACCAGTAGGACAAACAAGGTCAAATTTTGCCCACTGTGCACCCACATGATCTGCTTTCGGAGACAGCAAGGAAACGCGGCGGAGCTGAGCACAGAAAGGAGGGCCATCCCTGACCTCAACCACCTCGCCAAAGAGCGCCCAATCCTGATCAGCATTTCGACAGTCTCCAGTAGTGGTGATAGACACCAGGGCGGTGTTCACCGTCTCAGCCAAGGTAGACGGGAGGCCCATGATTGCCCAATCGATCATCCCTCTTACTGCCTTTTGCTCACCTGGAATCTTGTTGTCCTTAGTGTCCATGGCTGGCTTCACCGCAGGGATCAGCCTCTTTTGACACCTACCCCTTCTTCCTGAGAAGAAGTAGCAGACCCCGGCGCGTGCCCACACGTAAGGTGAGTGGTTTTGGGCCAAACACCTAGGGGGGAGATTTCTTGAAGAAGCGCTCGCACTATTCATTTGGTTCCTTGATTCTTAGGGCATCATTACTTTTTACATGTAAAATACTTACTGGCACTCACTGGCCCGCTTTTGTCAGAACTGCTGGGGCAAACTGGACGATCGCTGATGTCCCTGAAGCTATACTATGGTGTGATGCATCAAGGTTGGGTAAACTACAACGACTTCATGGCAGATTTGGTGGCTTTGCCATGTCTTATAGACATGGATGGGGCCTAAGCTGTTCTACGCACGGTTGATCTGATTTTTGCAGTTTGGTGTTTCTCCCGTGTTCTGTTTATCCTTTTCATTCAATGTTCCGTTGCTTTTGTTTCTGCGTTATTTGGTCAGTTTGTTTTCCCTTTTCAGCTTTGGCCCGTCAACAAAAGCTCTGGGTACAGGCAATGAGCAGCAACTGGAGAGATCTTAGCTGTCTGCCACATCTGCCCTGGCCAGGTCTTGTTCCAGAAGAACATGCAGGTGAATCTTTGCCTGTTGTCGAATCTTTCACCCCCCAAACAAAGTGAGGTAGGCCTTCCGAAAAACACACTGTGATGAATGTTGGCTGGTAGCTGCTAGTTGCTCCCTGTGGGCTCCTGTCAAGTAAGATGCTTCACATCGGAAGTCATGCTGGATCACATGTGCAGGAATCTTCCATGTGGTTTGTATTCTCTTGCTTCGATGCCAATGGCAGAGGTGCGAGTCGCAAGCAGTTTGAACTTGCCTCTTTTCACTCGAGGTGATGGACGTGAACTTGAATCCTACCAACGCATCACACAGCTAAGCCTGTATATAGATTGTCTCCATCACGACCATGCTAGGTCCTAGGCCTCATGCCAATATTTGTGAACCCGGGTTCAGAACACGCTTGGACTACCAAGGGGCAATGCAGCAAGTTCTTCACTGTGTTCACCGTTATGCAGCAAGAGATCATGGACGTTTCGAGCGGCACGCTCCCATGAAAGAAGGTCTTGTTAGTGAAGGATGGTTAGTTTTGCCCTTTATATAGAGGCCATTCTTGACGACAAATGTCTCACACCAAAGTCACGAGTCTCATCGAGCTTCATTTGTCCATTCTTGTCCATTTGTCCTTTTCTTTTTTGCTTTATTTGCTTTATTCGTCCATTCTTTGTTTGACTTTGATGTCGACTGAGACCGGTGTCGTCTGTTGAAGGTGAGGCAGATCGCCGACAGATCCACCGGGATCTGGGTCTGGTGCCTGGTGGTACGACGGATGAGTTCAGCGGCATTTTGGGGCTGAACTAATTTACTTTTTCACGAGTCTCATGTTATTATATAGAACATATTAGAAAACAGCAGTTAAAAGCACTGTGTTGATTATCAGGGGATTGAATTGAGTGTATATATTTAAAGTAATATAATTTCGACTAAAATTCAGTATATTTTATGATGCTACTTTGACACCCATCTTGCTGTCAGTCCCAGCCCTGGAGAATGATAAAGATCTGATCAAGGACGTACTTGAATCCCTTGCACGATTTGGTCTCTAGAGTGTAAAGTGTTTTATTATTGTTTCTTGACTGTATCCAATGTGTATACCCTCTAGCTTGTCCGCACAGAATCTTTTGTCGCTGGCCGCAGATGTTTCCACCATGATGGGCTTGCCTGAGGTAATGGCAAAGCCCTTCTTCATCAGACGCTTGGCACTTTTGGGTGCCAGTTGATTAGCTTGTGGGCGCGTATCTGGGATTTGGCAAACATATACTAGATTGAACCCCAGCTTTTGCGACTGGGAAACCGTACAAAGAGAATTCGGTCTGTTGAGATTGAGGAAGGCCCAAGAGTTGAAACACTACGACACAAGTGCACAACTTCGTTGGTCCCCGCTGCAGGAAGGAGAGCATGACAACAAGATAAGTGTAGATCAATATACAACTATGGTTTTACAACCCCGGAAATAAAGGGAAAGTCCTGAACATGTCCACCCCCGGTAGCTCCGGCTCAAAGGGTATGTGGGGCCACCCTACAGCTTGCCGCTGCGGGGTGTGTCTCACTTTGCACCGTGTTTGCTGCCATATCAGTGACTTCTCGCGGGAGCCCGGCTACATCAACTTTGCGGCCGAGCGACTGCGAGTACTAGCTGGGGAGCTGTGCGACTTCATCGACGCGCGGAGACGCGATACAGAGCTCAGGGCGGCGTCCTTGAGGTCTGGACTCCTCCCACAAGGTGAACGGGAGTCACAAGTCGCACGAGAAGGTGGACATCAAGGCCCCGGATACAAAGAGGAGGCAGCGCTACAGCCAGGAGAGGAAAGGTCATCGAAAGAGCACACTACAGAGGTCAAGCGCGAGGACGAAGAGGGCGATCATCGAGGAGCAGGAGAGGAGAGCGTGGACTACTCGGAAAAAAGATAGCCATCCCAGTACAGCCCCAAAGAGCCAGGCCAGCCGAAAAAAGATAGAGAGATCGCCTTTGCCCCGTCGTGAAGCCAAGAAGGAGTCAGAGGAGGAGCCTGAGGAGAGTGAAAGGGAGTGTGAAGAAGAGCGCACTCCTCACAGAGAAAAGAAGTCCGGGAGAAGACCGTCAGGCGAGCGGAAAAAGAGTGAAAGGGAGAAGGAAGAGGAAGCCACTCCTCACTCAGAGAAGAAACAGAAGAGGAGGCGGAGGACCAGGAGCCGCTCAAGAAGGAGGAGACGCCGAAGCCCTAGCAGAGAGGAGGTTGAGAGAGAACATCAACACAGAAACCCAGGAGGAGTTTCATCAGCTTCGAAACCAGAGCCCCCTGCCAGTGACCCGCCTGCTAAGCTGAGACCAAGGTCGCCTTCTCATCCCCCGCCGTCCGGACGAGGAGGGGGAGGTTATTGGACAAAGCCGGGCTACGGTCGAGGACAAGGATATTACGGGGGCTCAGATTGGAAGAACAAGGGGGTGAAGAAGGTAGAGACGCAGAAGAGTTTCAAGGCCTTCCTCGCCCACCGAAAGGAACACCTGAGATAGGTGGATGGCGCCCAAGCGGAGACAGGCTGCAGACGTTGGAGTTCGAGGAGATCGTCGAGTCCGAGCACGACCTGCAGCAGCAGAACCTCCTGAGGAGCCGGACTTCTCTAGGGGAGGCTTGGTGGAAGGACATCGGGTGACAGTGGGAGAGCTGGCACGCCACTTATTGGGACAGGCCAGTTGAGGTCGCAGGCGAGGTCATTGGAGTCTCCCTGGTGGGAGGCCAGTTGGAGCTGAAGCTGCAAGCTGGGGGGACGCCTGACGAGGGCCTCCTCAAGTGGCTATCTGGACAGGAGGACAGATGTCTTTGTGCCCACCTGTGTACACCGCTTTGCACGAACAGCCCGGTGGCCGACGACTACGTGCATCTGAAGAAGCTGAGGAGACTGGAGGTAGCCCCGCCTGCATGGGGCGAGAACTTGAAAGAGGCTGCAGAGAGCGAGACACTCAGAAGGTTGGCGGAAGAGTCCAGCAAAGAGACAGAGAAGCAAGAGGAAAAGGAGTAGGCGGAGGTCGCGAACCTGCAGCCGGAGGAGAGGCCGTCCACGAGGAGGTGAGCAGCTCGAGTACGAGTTCATCAAAGAAAAAAAAAGAAAAAAAAGAAGAAGGCCAAGGCGTTCAAGGTGCAAGGAAAGAAGGATCTGGCAAAGGTCTTCGAGTTCACCGGACTCGACCCCAAGCTCAAAAACCGCAAGAAGGTGATGAAGCACGCAAGAAAGGCCATGAAGCACCGTTCGAAGGAGGACAGCGGGGACTCCTCGTGCAGCAGCACGGAGGGGAGTTCCACAAGTGGAGACAAACACACCTGTTCGAGGAGACCTTGCGGCCCACACCATCTCGAGTATGTCGGGGTCCCTGCATGCTCACTCACCAAGGCTTGCCTATCGAGATTCACGATGGTCCAGTGCCGTGCATAGCCCTGCAATACCACAAGCAAGTCCTGTCGCAGAGGTTGTCCCCGCCGTTGTGCAGAGAGAGTTTGAACCTATGTGCGGCCACGGACGCCATCCTCAGTGGCCAGGTGGCGCTGGGGGTAGACATACTTCTTCAGCGTTTGAAGTCGGTGGAGAGCTTGGGAGGAGGTCAATCATGGGCGGCTTCACAGAAATTGGAGTTAGCGCCGCAGGAAGGAGTTCAACTAGCAGGAGTCGAAGAAAGCAAAAAACAGCCAACAAGGAGCTGCGAGAAGAGTTGAAGAATCGTCAAGCTACGCAGAGAACATGGGTGAAGGGCGACAACGGCAGTTCAAAGAGCAAGCAAGAAGAGGCAAAGGGGAAGAGCAAGAAGGACAAAGGAGGAGGAAAAGACAAACACAAGGGGGAATGGGAGAAGGAGAAGTAACTTCTCCTCCCCTATACATGACAGAGGCTGAGATTGAGGCAGAGTTGCAGACCATGGCAAGGCTGGCTTCGCAAGGGGTAGAGCAGACCTCAAGTGTGCAGAAAGATGACCTAGCAGAGACGCAGTTGCCGAATGGGAGTGTGAGACCATATAAGCACTCCTCGGTGGCCATCTTGGCCAGTACAGTGCCGGACGAGGATGCCGCCTCCGAAGGCAAACCTACACCCCGCTTGAAGAGCGAAAAAAGGAGTTGGGAGCGGGCGGATTTCGTTTCGTGGACGTCGTGCGGGACTTGACCAGGGACCTGTCACCTTTTCTTCGCAAGACCTTGACCAAGGGGGGGGTGTTTCCACTTCCCTGCGGCAGCTCCCTAGCTGGACCCCCGTTTGACGTGTTGGATGCTGAGGTGAGAGAGGTTTTGAGGGGCATGGTGATGGCTCTCAATAGTGTATATGATTGTTGTCCGTCCCAAACCCAACGTGTTTCACCATTGCATTGCGTGAGCGTATTCTACTACAGTTGAGTGAAGAGGCCCAGAGGTTCGTGAGCAAGACGGAAAGGTTCGAGAAACTGTCGTGGCAAGATTTCCTTCGTGTGATAAGCGTGGACTACAAGGGAGAAGAGGTCAAGACAGCGCAGAGAACCTCTTGGGCGCAAGTGTCACCCGCATTACCGGAAGAGGGAGGCACAGTGGACCTGGAGCAAGTGGTAAGTGGAGGCTGTTTGCACTACGTTCGGAACTTCACCCAGTTTTTGGTCCCTGAAGAGTCCCAGGTTTTTACAAAGGCCCCAAAGGTGATGGTTGCTGATGAAGAGTGGGATTGCATGTGTGAGGGCCGTGAGGGTTTGTTGAAGCGAGGCATTTGCGGTGCCATCGCGGAGAGCGAGATCCATCATGCGCAAGGCCGCCTGTTGTTGAACGGGATGTTTAGCTGTGAAAAGGAATTTAAGGAGACGTTTCGACCCTACCTGCATGGCCCAGCATGAACTCCTTCTTCATCCAGCCGACGGAAACCCTCTTGATTAGTAGTGAAGATGCGAGGTGTTTCTTTTACCTGTTTCGGGTTCCTCGTGAATGGCAACCTTTTTTGGCCTTTGCTAAGCCTTTGCCAGCCCGACTATGCCCGCACAACCGAGAACGCTTCTACCTCACTTCTTTGGTCCTACCTATGGGGTTTTGCAACAGCGTCGCACTAGCGCAGCATATACACCGACAAGTGGTCAGCAGTGCCTTGGAAGAAGCTCGGAAAGAGGGCCTCCAGCACGGTTGGGAGGCGGAGTTGAGACGGGATAGACCGCTGACCAGTCCAAACCCTGCCTATAGGATATATTTGGACAATTTTGATCAGCTCGAGAAAGTGGACTCCGCTCTGGCAGAAAGAATTAAAGGCACACCTACCCCTTTAGTGGATAGTTTGCGCAGTGTGTATTCTGACATGGCCGTTCCCCGTCACCCCAAGAAAGCTGTGGTGCGACAAAGCTTAGCAGAAGTACAGGGAGCTCTGGTGGATGGTTCGGAAGGGACCGCAAGACCGCGCCCCGAGAAAGTCATGCGCTACGTACAGCTCAGCCTCTTGCTTATGGAAAGTGGCCGGCGCAGTCAAAAGCAGATGCAGATTGTGGCAGGGGGGTTGGTTTACATGGCTATGTTTCGACGGGCGCTGCTTGGAACACTCAACGCCATTTGGGAGTTCGTCCAGAGCTTTGACAAACAGGGGCCCCATTTCAGACCTTCGCCACAACCGGTCCAAAGGGAGATAGCGCGATTCTGTCTCCTGGTACCGTTGGCGCGAATGGACTTCCGGCTGCCCTTCTCACCTACCGTCACAGCCAGTGATGCTTCAACTACGGGGGGAGGAATCACAGCCTCGTCAAGGTTGACCCCGCTGGGACGCATGGCCGCCAACTGCGAAGTGCGCGGTGATGTTGTTGAACCTAGCGACCTTCCTCAAGTGCTCACTGTGGGCTTGTTTGACGGGTTGGGGGCACTTCGGGTAGCTGCAGACGTGATTGGTTTGCCGGTGATGGAGCATATTAGTGTGGAGAAGCATGGAGCCGCAAGGCGGGTGGTGGAAAGCCACTTTCCCCAAACCATATTCGTTGAGGATGTCGAGCTGGAGGACGAGAGCACGGTGCAGTCGTGGGCTTGCCAGTTCTCCCACCGAAGGGGTTCTTCTACGGTCAAAGTGACGCTTTCAGAGGCACCTTGTCGCTTGCCAGCTTTGGTAAGGCCAAGGGAGACCACAGCAGGGCCATGTAGGGCATGTACACTGAAATCAGAAGAACAGAGACTCGGTATCTCTCCCGAAGCCAAATTTGTACTGCTCCTTGAAAAACGCGTACCCTACCATCATCTGAAGTGCCTCCTCCGGTAGCGGTGGCGCCCGGTTAGGTATTTCGTTCACGCTCCAAGCTTTGAGGAGTCTCCAGGTTCCCCGGAGATGTCCCTTGACTTGCGGTTGAGCATCCTGCAGCGCTGCAACGGTGTCACTTGCTTGCGCGCGTCCATACCCTTCTGTCCATAGGTGCTCTATGTACTGTTGGACCAACATGTCAAGGTCGGCGTGGTTGTAGGGCACTGCTCGCCCTTCATCTCGGAGGAATGCCCAAAAGCCTTCCAGTGCTTTGTTGTAGCGTTCTCCGGTGCGTGGTTGAACTTCCCATCTCTGCTCTCTGCTTTTGCCTCCTTCTAACATTGGCCTTTTTACTTTAGCCATTTCTTCCGTACAGGTCGCTGGCTGGGAGCATCAGCCGGGTTTTGTGCCGTGTGGACATATGCCCACAGGCCTTGTGTTCCGGAGGCTAGGAGAAGCGCGTTTATTCGGAGCAGAGTTCGTCGAAGTTTGCGGCTACTGGATCTCCCCCGTGCCAAACAGTGGAGGCACACAAGGGAATCTACGAGATGAAGCCATCGTTCTTGGAGCCAACCTTTCTTTGCAATGCGCCAGCGAAGCGTTGTCAACACAGCGCGCAGTTCGAGTGCATTGATGTGTTCTTCGCTGCCTCGCCATTGCCATCCACAAATAGTCCTCCATTGCCATAGACCTGCAGGAAGGCTGGCTCGAAGGCGATGATATCGGACTGGATCTTCACTTTGCGTCTGTAGGAGAACATCCTCTCCCTTCAGACTGGTAAGCCCTGCAATCTTCCTCACCAGCTGTGTGTCCAATAGAGAAGGTTCAGCTTTCCGTGGAGGTCGCATGAACGGTCGGAGCAAAAAACTCTGTAGGGTGCGTCCTCCGCCTGGTGTACTACCACCTCCCGAAGGCTCAGACGCGGTCCCACGCCTAGAGCCAAGGAGAGTTGCGTCAATAACCATGCCACCACAAAGACATTCCAGCTGTTTCCTATGAGGGTCAGCCGCTCATCCTGCCAAGCTCGCGTGCGCTGCTCTTGCTTCGGGTAGCACTGAACAGTGTGGCCTCGTGGGAAGCCCATCAATACTTCTCGCTCTTCATAGTTCAACAGTCGGGTATTGCCATGTTTGTCTTGCGCTCGAAACTTGTGAAGGTATTGGTATGGTGGGAAACGATGCAAATCACTAGCCCAGTCCCTAAGTACGTCATCTCCACACTGCTGGAGGCCGGCGGGACGCCTGCCGGGTGTGAGGCTTGGCCGTGAGGTAGTGAACGTCGGGTATGGCTCATCGGAAGCTTTCTCCCATCCATCTGCCAGAAACTGAGCACTGTCATACTCAACCTCCAGGGTCACTGTTTGCAGCGCGCTCCAAGTTTCCCCCTTTGCCGAGGAGATGGTCACTCCTTCACCAGGTACCAACTCCCATGACGGCCAGAATAAGCGAGGTCGCCGAGCTCCACAAAGGTGTACAGGATCTATCAGGTAAGGTGTACACCCCACGGACTCGCTCATGAGGCGTCGATCACTCTCATCCATGGAAGCGACTGACTCCATCAGCCTGTGCACCTGTGCCCACTTAAAGTGCTTCTTGAGGAGGGTGTGAACGAGGTCCACGTACTGGTATAAACAGCTGCGGTGGTCTCGCAGAGCCCCCCTTCGGTCTGCGTTGAGTCCAGAGACACCTTGACAGGGAAAGCCGGCCCCCAAGATCACCAGTGCCACTTGGTTGGAGCCGACAATGCGAGGTGCGTAGCCAGCTTTGCCCGTCCCCCGCCAAGTGGCGCCAACTCTTTAATGAGACTGTTACGGCGCTCGGTTTTGAAGAATTGGGCTTTCGCCCTTACTCCCCGCAGAGGAGGGGCCACGTTTTTCTTCCAAAAATGTGGAAGTTTAGACCGTCTTTTGGTCTATGGTAGGTGGCAGGCTGCCAAAACAGCCCGTATGTACGTCAATAGTGGACTTGCTGCACTGGCAGAGATGAACCTGCTGCGCACGGCAGCTAACAAACAGTTTCGGGCCATCTTTTAGAATTCAAACAAACGTCCAGTGCCGTCGCTTGAGCCTACCCCGAGAGGGGGTAGGGCAGGGGGCGGTGGAAAGAAGAGCAAACAAGATCGTGGGGTGCGATCGCAATTTTTTTAACACCAGTCATGAGGTCTGTTCTGCTCCCCGGTGTGGCCGGGAGGAATAGACGTGACTGAAATGTTTATGCCTCTTGGGCTAAAGTCCTTTCCTGGAGTGGCGGAACAGGG